CAGAATGTGATTCCTGGACCAGTAACCACCCAAGGACTTGCTAGAAACGCGCATTTTTGGACCCTGTCCCAGAAACTCTGGAGGGGGGCTCAGCAGTCTGTGTTTCAGCAAGCCCTCTGGTGGTTCTGATACGCACCGAAGTTTGTGGACCCCTGTTTTAGGGAATGTGAGCTTGGGAGTATTAAGGAACTGAGTGAAAGACGTCTCTGGTAGCCTGAGGCCAGTATGTTAGGACGTGGCGCTCTGCCCCGGGCCGGGTCGCCAGGGGGCCGGCGCTGTCTCGGGCCATGTTGTCAGGACGCTGTGATTTTCTGCAGCTGCTCTAGGTATTTCGCGAGCAGAGCAGGCAGAGGAACGATTTTGTTCAGTTTTGTCTGTTTTCCCTTCTGGTTTGGCCGCTGTTACTGCTGTTGTTGTTGTTAATGTTCACTGATTCAAGTGTAAGGTAAAGTCTAAATGCCTGACTCTGGACCAAGGCTAATAAAGGATTCCAGTGAGTCCAGAAGGATGTTAATGGCTTGGATGAAGTGATTTAGGGGTGTTCCAGGGAGAGAGCAGCTCTGCCAGTATGATGGCGTGAGAGCGGAGACCGATGATGAGAGGAGGCTGTGGTCATAAGGGGTGCGTGCGTACGTGTGTGCGTGTGTGCGCGTGAGCGTGTGAGCTAACGGAGAAGGAAGAACTGCAGCCACACACAAGGGAACGTAGCAGGTGTGTGGTGAATATTCTTGTAAACTAAATTGGATTGGGTTGGCTGTGGCGGTATAATTCTGGGCTTGGCTGTGATGGAAGATGGCTAAGGTCAAATACGGATAGAAATTCATGAAGTTTCAGTTTGCGTTCTGTTTACTTGGTGATCAGCATTTATGAAGTTTTAAGGGATGATCCAGGTTCTGGAAACATTTAGATTGGTGGAAACGGTTCGTTGAGGCAGGAAAGGGTGACGGCAGAAATGAACAGTGACAGACCAGTGACAGACCAGTGACAATGAGGACGGGAGGGATGACCTTCATCCTAGCCCTCTGTGCCGCCGCTCCTGTCCCTCCGCTGCATCGCGGCAGCAGGAGGAAGCAGGGTGTTATAGGGAGGAGAACAACGAAAGGAAGTGATTTTGCTCTGTTTGTCTGTCTGTCAGAGGAGAGTCCTGTCGGAGGCAGTTGGGCAGGCAGGGTAGCCACAGGAGTTAGAAATGGGGGAGGCAGGGGGGAGGCCCTCACCACTAGGGAATGTAAGAGGGGACACTTTAGAGCTAAAATTCTGTGTTTTTAAACTTATGGGAACATTTTAGTTTTCACAAGATGGCAAATCAAAAATTCCAAACACATATCACCACCCGAGAAGGTTCAGTAGGAAGCATTACGTGGCATCCAGTTTGTCTCCGTGATGAACACTCCGGTTATGGAGACCTTGTACCTAAAACTCACCCGTTGTGTCAGCATGTTCAGCCGTTGATTAAACAGATATTTACTGGGTGCCTCCTTGGTGCCAGGCGGCGGCGTGAGCGCTGCGGGTAGAGCAGAGGGCCTGTCAAAGCTTCTGGCCTCTTGAAGCTCCCATTTTGGTTTGAGGAAGAACATCATAAAAAGTATACACATTCATGATACAATTTTAGGCCAGGATAAATACAGTGAAGTCCATTAAAACAGGAAGGAGAGAGGGATGCGGACAGGGAGGGCGAGCTGGTTTTGAGAGGATCATCTGGAAAGGCCGCTCTGAGAGGGTATTTGAGCCGAGACCTGAACCTTGTGAACGTCTAGGGAAGAACATTAAGGAAGAAGGAACAGCAGGGAGAGACCCCCAGGCAGAAATGAAGCTGTAAGTTGGAGACGGCAAGAGCGCTGCTGTGGCTGGAGCAGAGTGAGCGGGAGCCTGAGCCCTGCTGGGAGGAGAGCTGGGCGGATCAGCAGCCGGACGTTCAGGGCCTCGAGGGCTGAGGCGCGGAGTTTAGACTGCAGTCCAGCGGGGAGGGGATTGCCTGAACACTGCCTTGTGCTGAAGTTCTTAGAAGCGGAACTGTTCTTCCCTCAGGACAGGACTTGTGAGCCGCCTTCGGTTCGTTCTCCCAGTGGGCCTGCGTCTTTAGCATTACGATCCAATCAAGGGGAACCGGGTTTAATATGGATAATTATAGACAGTCTCTCTGTTCATATATATGTATGTGTCTGTCTGTCTGTCTGTCTAAATTACAATGAGATATGCCTTTGAGTGGTTTGGTCTGCAGTAGACGTGATACATACATGTTTCTACTCTACTTCTGATTTTCAGAATCAAGAAAATCTCAAACCTGGAGAATCTAAAAAACTTAGATGTCTTGGACCTTCATGGAAATCAGGTATTGTTAAAGCCCTTTCTTTTTTTTTTTTTCTTTTTTGAAAAAAGTCTAGGAAATTTGGTATTATAAAAGTTTTAATAATTACACTTGTGTTGAATTTTTTAAGAGTTACTTTACTGATTTCACTGAAATTACCTACAGTATTAAGGTATTAAGCTCATTTATATGAGTTGATAATTCCTCAGCAGCAAATGACAGCCAAAACTGATCAAACATTCAGAATTCTTACAGTTAGGACAATTTTCTTTCTCACTTAGTCTTTTATTAACTTCTATCCAACCCCAACCCAAGAGCTAGAATATTGCCATTATTTTCTTCTGCGTAAGTGTTCCTTCTTCATTCCAAGATAGCCACTGTTACAGATTTCACATTTATCATTCCTTTGCAGGCTTTTTAGTTGGTTTTACCACATGTGTGTGTCTAAATAATACATAATTTAGTCCTATTGTCTTAATGTTATAAAGTGTCATATGACCCGTCGTCATCTAGGGTTTGCTTGTCGGATACAACATTGTGTTACTGAGATTCATCTGTTTTGACAAAGAAGCTGTAGTTTATTTTCACTGTTGTCTCTTCCACGGTTTGATTATGCAAAACCCTGTTTCTCCATTTTACCACCGATAGACCCTTGGGTAGATTCTTTTTGTCTCTTTGCTTCTTGTTTTGTTTCCTGTTAGGATGGCACTTATAAGTACATTCCTATCCGCATGTCCCCCGTGCATCATATGTGCTTTTAGGGTGTATATCGAGGAGTGAAACTGATGGATCACAGGCTATTTAAGTGTCTCAATTTAAAGGTAATGCCAGGTGTTTTTCCAAGGTAATTGTACCAGTTTATATTCCCACCAGTAACACGGAGTAGATCCTGTGGCATCACATCCTTTCCAACACTTGGACTGCCTGACTCCTTAACTTTTGCCAGCTGAACTGGTACAAAGTGGAGTCTCCTGATGGTTTTGATTTCTGTTTCCCTGCTTACTCTGCAACCTGGGGTCATTATTCTGTTTGATCAGTTTTTCTATCCTTATGTTTGTTTTAATTTCTGTGTCTGGTTTGTTATGTTCCCCCTCCTTATTCTTTTCTCTCAGAGCGTCTTGGCTATTTTTTAACCCTTTGCTCTTACGTTTGAATTTTAGTCTTTGGAATATGTAGTACTTATTTATGAATAGCTGTGTGAGCTACATACTCATGCAGAGGATGACACCTCTCTGGGGTGGGAAGGGTCCATTCTCGGGCGATCCGGAGTCCCTGCCTGCTGCTGGACAAGATCTCTCCCCCTGCACTTGGTCAGGAGCAAACCTCAGTGCTTTCTCTCTAGGCCTTCTAATAGCCGTGAGTCCCAATCATTTTTTTGAAAGTGAATGTAATGAGTAAAAACCTTTATGGATCTAGATAGGCCACATCTGCTGGGTTCTATTGCACCCCATCCCATCTGTCTGCCTGTCTGTGTGTGCACACAGAGGGCCGAGTGTTGGTGGCCTGGGAACGGGCCAGCTCTGCAGGCTGGTTAGCGTTACTCTAGTAAAGGGGAAGTTTGCCCAGTTAGTCAGATGGTAGTGGAAGGGGAAGGAGAATGAAAGAGTTTTGTCAGTATGAGAGTATCATATTCAAAAGCATGGAGACTGGAAACAACGTGGGAAGTGTTTTTACTGCTGGAGAATTTAGCACGTGCTGAGGGATGGTGAGGGATGAGGTGAGAGAGGCAGGTATGTGGCCAGCGTGCGGAGGGCTTTAGATGCCACACTGAGGAATTGCCATTATATCTTTATGTAGCCTTCTGCTTTTAAAACTGTTCATAAGTATAATTGTAACATTTTATGGCAGCATTATTTTTCTTAAGTTTATTATAAAATGTATGTATGAGACCTAAGCATTTATGTGGTTTTCCTATTATAATATATACTTTTAAGAATTCATAGGCATTGCCCAAGATCTATAAGAGAAACTGGTAAATGAATAACATGTTGCTTTGCCTGTATGTTACGTGTAAGTATTGTTTACTAATGATTATGTTGATGAAAAATGCTCCATTCCTTGTTAGCTGACACGTTATGTGTCTTATAATTTCAGCATGTTTGCAATAGTCTGTGTAGTAAGATTAAACATTTATACCACACAAATTACTTCTCAAGATTCTATAAGAAGGAAATTTTAAGTGAAAATCTGAGTCTTGTTTCAAAATATTTAAACCCAAAAGCAAAAGTCTAGAGTCTTTAAAGCAAAGACAGTCCTAGTGACCTTAGATTTCTAAAAAGTCAAGAGATACTCTATTCAGGATGAAACAATGTCCAGTTCTAAAAACAGCACCAGATAGTTAAACTGAAAGAAAAGTGAGTGAGTGGGTTTTGTCTTTTGAGTTTACTTCTTCGGGAAATAAAAATGATGCTTGATACACATGGTGAAATGAAATGTAATCGGTCTGTGGATGTAAGCACGCCCAGAGGAACAGTGGTAGGGCCCAAGAAACAGGTCGGGGGAGGGGTGGGAGGAGTTCGGGGAGGTGAAGCTGGAGACAGGGCAGTTGAGGGACTCGTCCAGTAACCCTGGTGAGAAGCGATGGTGACTTACAGCAGTAGCAACAGGGATACAGCAAGGGGGCAGGTTGGATAAATAGTTGAAAAGTAGGAACATTGAGTTAGCAATTAATTGTATGTGAGTAGTGAAAAACACAGAGCAATATGGGAGATTGACTCTCAGTTTGTGACCTAGATTTTTTTTTGTCTACAAGAAAATGTTCTCTTGGTAAATGCTTGCTTTACCACGGACACAAATGGACTTGAAGAAGAAGCTGTTCTCCCAGTGACGTCTTTTCCTCCAGGGAGAGCTTGCCCTGGCTGTGACTGCTTGCCTGAACGCAGACATCTTCCCTTCCAGTGCTGCCGAGTAGGAATGTTGTCTCCACCCAGACGCAGCGGTCTGGGTTACCCCGTACACCTGCGGAAGGCTAGCGTGCCCAGCTCTTCTGGATGCGTTAAGAAGCTCTGCTGTCTGTCTTGTGACCCTCTCTGATCCAGGGGACTATGCCTGGGCTTTTGAACATTCCTGTAGTCTCTTATTCTGGCTGTGAAGTTTATTAACTAACCTAGAATGCTGCTCTCACCCTACTCTACCCTTTGCCTCAAGTTTCTGTCCTTTGCTCTGTGCCTGTGACTTTGCACACGGCCCCAATGAGTAACGGACTTCATTCCACTAGAGGGGCCGCTCACAGTTCTGGCCTGTCTGATTGCAAACCAAGATGCTGAACAGTATCCCCAGTGATTTAAAAAAAAAAAAATTATAGGCTGACACCTATATGTAAGAGCTGGAACTCTAAAATGTAGGCATTCTGATTGTTAGTCCTACTGGAATGAATGGAATTGGAGAAAGGAAATTTTCTAAAAGAAATGCCCCAGGATGTGAGCAGGAGGAGGAAGACACCATATACAGGTCGTGTGCCCCTTCATTCTGTGTATTTGTATTTTTCTTGAATTCAGGAAAGTTTTATGTGTATACACACACACACACACACGGATACACACACACACACATACATACATTTACATACTGCTCTTCCGTATGTCTGGTTTTTCATACTATTTTAGGAGAATTTCTCAAGCTTTTGCTGATATAACTGATTTTCTATAGTGTCTGTTTTGCTTTTTGCTGATTCTATACATTCAAATTCTATCACCTATTCAGTTTTGAAATGTTTTTGTCTGTGTCTCACTGTGCAGTTCTGTCATCTGCAGATACTGATAACCTTGTTTCTTCATTTTACATTAGTTAGGCCAAAAGCCTTAGGACAGATTATAAAGCATGGTCGGGTGCTATCTTTATGTATCATTAGCTCTGCCGTGAACATACTTAGGTTTCTCCTCTTACACCTAGATGGGCTCCAGCTGGTATCTCTTGAATGTAAGAGAAGGTCCAAACATGACCAGAAACTGGATTAGAAATCTAAAAAACGGTTAAAGCCAACACCTGTTTGAAGTGTTAAATAGAGAATTTCAGTTAGTACTGTGACGGCAGTACAGGTGAGAAGATTAATCTCTAGTGATTGTGAAGTGCATTAGTCTCACTGCTCAGAAGCAAAGGGCTATGTGATGTGTGTAACTCGCTGCTCCTTAACTGCATTTAAGGGCTGAGGAAGTCCTGCGTCCGGCGGAAACTCATCCCATTGTGCTCTGCTTGCTGCTTACGATAGTGGGGCTTAAATCATGTGTGTCTCATCACTCCGTGGGCTGTGCCCTCTGACTCACCCTGACCTGTGCCTCCTCCACCACAGTTCGTGGTTATGTGCATGTGGATACGCAGTGATTCAAGTCCTCTTGTTCTGAACGGTGCCCACCATGCTGTGCCCTGACCAACCATTATCTGTCTCCTCTCTTAAGCATGTCCACTAACAAAGATTATCCATCCTCACCCCCACTGGGAATCCTAGTTCCTTGAGTCTTTTCCATTCAGACTCCCGACTGCTCTCAGGATCCTGCAGTGTACATGGAAGTAACAAGGGGGACTCAGTATCATTCCCTCTCCTTGCCTTTTCTCTCAGGGTTAGTCCTGTTTGATGGAAACATCGTGAGCTTGTGCCTTGGGCTCACAGTAGGTTTCTATTTGGCAGGTAGTGTGTATATTTCTCTTCACCTTCAGGGGTCCTAGCAAAGTGTCGGGCAATTGGAGATGCCCAGTCAATGGACTTGTTGATTATCTGATAAAACACACTTCAAATAATTACTGTGGTCAAATCATATGTTCCTTTAGTTAAGTGACTTCATAATACCTACAACAGACGAAATTGGAAATAGATTTTTAAATGTCTTCATATAAACCTGTCACTGAATCCGGTGACTGTATTTTATTTCAGGATTTTTGTAACGTGCATATCTGAGATTTATGCCTGCTGATCATCCTTTCCTCATTTTTTAACAGATTACCAGAATTGAAAATGTCAATCATTTGTGTGATTTGAGAGTTTTAAATCTTGCCAGGAACCTTTTAAGTCACGTTGATAATCTTAATGGGCTGGATTCACTGACTGAACTTAACCTGCGGCACAATCAGATCACTTTTGTGGTGAGTATTAAAATGCAAGCAGCATGTGATGTCTGGCTTTTCCTTTAAGGAGATGAAATACATGTATGGCATCACTTTCTGCAGAGTGAGAATCTAAAGTAATTTAGTTTTTTTCTGCATTTAAATTGTGTATATAATTGTTAAGCTTTATAATATTTCGATTTGGGAAATGTTAGGGTATTTTCCATTCTAAAAGATAAATACAAAATTAGGAACAGAAGTGTGATCAGTAAATGAACCAGCTAGTGGTAAACAAATACTGAGTCCCTTCCTTTGTTACTATAGGAATAGAATTAATAAGAAGGAAGGTTACTGGTGATTGAAGGTTGATAAATTGTTGCAGCAGGAGGTGAAAGGCACAGAGAAGAGGGGCTGAGGTGTGGAGACATGCATAAATATCATATTCTTTGTGGTTTTACAAAAGGCAGCTTGGTACAGTGGAAAAAGCATTGTTGCACAGGACATTAGAGGCCTAGTGCTGGCCTCAGCTTCATCCCTCTTTAGCTGTGTCACCTTGGATAAATTACTTTAAATCTGTAAGTCTCAGTTTACTTTTCTCTAAAATGAGAACATTGGGCTAGATTATCTCTGTATAGAGTCCTTTCTGGCTTGCTGACAATGGAAAAAGCCATAAATATGCTAGAGTGCTAGCATGTGAGCAGGAGGAAGAGTTGGCACCGTGGGGACAAAACTACAAAAAGACTCCCCTGGAACTCTGAAGGTGAACTTCGTTAGATTGAGAGTTTGACTCAGGATTACCAAGTAGGTGACCATTCGATGCTCAGGTGCTTTGCGCTTGTGTGTGTGTGAAGAGCACCAGGGGCACGACCTCTGGCTGTGTGATGTGGGCCACGAAGATGTTTGAGGGTTTATAAAAGCACTATTTGCTCTTTTAACAAGTTTCGTTTGTTTATGTGCAATAGAAAAACTACATTAGGTTTTCTCTGGATATCACTTAAGCACTTTGAAAGGCACGCTCTGATTCATAGCTTTTTTCAAGACACTAAGTTCCTTAGTAAATAGTTAAATGTACTACAAGTGTGCACTTGAAAAAGTTGGGGGCAGATGATACCTTATCTCTAGGCCTCGGTGTGCAGATTGGTTTCATTTTGAAAATTTTCCAGAAAATCTGAGCCAACTAATGCTCATATCTTCTAGAAGCTTGGGATAATTTCAAAACCTTCTTCAAGACATGGATTTATTCTAGAACCTCTTAACTTCTGCCAGCCCTTCCCCACATTGGGCTTCAATACTGGAAATGACTAGTTAATTTGAAAAGACACCCAGATTGAGTTAATCTGTTGCTTTGCTGGGTCTCTAGGAACTGCTCAGGCGGGACTTAATCTGTCCCGGGGACACTGGGTATGCTAAGGATCCAGACAGCTCTGTTAGAGTGGGGGACGGACATCTGTTGGCTCTAGCATATTCCTGTCTGCATTGTCTTTCATTTGTAAAGTGTGTAATACATATCCAGGAAATTGCTTACTGAATTTCCTGTTGAGCATTCTGTCTAATCATTACTGCTATACCTTATGGAAAAGGAAATTGTATTAATTTCTAAAAGTTAAGATTTATTATCTTTATTATAAGATTTATTATATTTATTATGGTATAATTATGATAATAAGTATCATACATTTTAATTTATTGGAATTGTGGGTATATGTATAAGAATAAATAAGAAACTTTATCTGTTTCTTTTTTGAAGCATCCTTTTCCTAAAAGAGCCGAGAGTCTTAAGTCTGAGAATTCTTTCGTTGCTGTTGTTTTTAACTCTCCTTTGCTCAGGGTCAATTGTCACACTCTTTTTGCTTTTCGTTCTCTTACGGTGTCCTCACTGGCTGGTAATCCCTAAATGAAGGACCACGTTGAGGAGCGGCTGGTTCTCCCATGCAGCTGAACAGGGCTTTTAAACCACGTTCTCTCCCTAGAAAGGTCACTACATCTGTGTACGTGTTGAATCCACGCGCTGGCGGACTTCCCGCGAGAGGAGGGGCGGGAACGGAAACTGCCGAAGTGAGAGCTGCTTGGCGGCGGCGTGGGTGGCGGGTGCGGGAGGACTTGGTGTCCTCCGCGCCGGGTGAAGTTGTGGTTCCCGCCCGCTCTGGTTCTGCGGTGGCCGTACCAGCCACCTGCACAGATAAGTCTCCCACGCCCTCCCCTGCAGAGCCCGAGGCTCCCGCTGAGGCTTTCTCCAGCCAGCCGCCCGCGCGGCTGCACGTGGACATGGCGGGGCGGGGGGCGGGGGGCGCGTCTGCTGGTGCTGCAGGAACAGCAGCTGCCTGGTTAGTGGCGTCGCCGGGCGCAGGCCTGCTCTTCGCAGTGCAGACGCCCAGCGCCGAGGGAGAGGCTTCTGTCGGGAGGCGCTGCTGCCGCCGGCTCTGAGCTGCACCTTCTGTTCAGGGGCGCCTCCTGTGAGATCCGAGCTGCTCTCCACCTGCCTGAAGTTCACCAAAAACGTTCACCAGTTAATAACTCTCTTGTTTTTATCATTTCCATGGACTGACTCGCTGTGGCAGTGTTTTTGTTTGTTTCACGCATTGAATATTGTGAAGATGAAACAAGTGTGTTATCTACTTTACCATCTTATCAGAAACCTGTGATATTTTTGCTATGGAAAAGTCATTATTTATTGTATTAAGTTCACTGATCTTTTCTTGGAAATTTTATAAATTTCTACCAAATGTCTATTTAGTTTATATGGTATCTTTCCTTTTTAAAAAATAGGAAACATTTCAGACTCTCCCAAAATAATACAAAATAATATTACCAATACTTGTATATACACCAATGAATTTAATACATAAAAGGCTTTTAAATACAGTTGATGCCTGCTATGTAACCCTGCCCCAACACATTCCCTCCCTCCTTTGCAGAGGTAACTGCAGGTACACATTTGGTATTTATTTCTGTGTATGCTTCCTTTTTGATATATCTCTAAGCAATTCCATATATAGCCCGAAGCAATCTGAAGTAATTATTTTGCGTGCTTTTAAGTGTTCTCTACATAGTATAGTCATACTGCACATGCCTTCTGTAAGGTGCTTTTATTCGTAGAGATTCATCTATGTTGATACTTGTGGCTCTGGTTCACTTATTTTCATTGTCATACAGTATGCCACTGTGTGATTATAATTTAATATTTATTCTTCTACTTATGGACAATAATGTTATTTCTAATTTTTGTTATTAAGAAGACCTAACATTTTTGTACATGTCTTATGCATATTTATAAGTTTCTTTAGGACAGTGACTTTCAAACATTTTTAGCCATAATTTATGGTAATAAATGAAATTTACCTTGAAACCCAGTTATTAAATCCATATTTATATGGGTACTTCATAAATAATGGAAACAAGCATTTCGTGACCATCGCCACCCTTTGTACAATCCAATCTGGTACATCCTATTCTATTCTATAATGGCTCATTAAAAATGTTGCTCTCAGAAAAAAAAAAGCTGAGTCTCAATCTACTGAATTGATTTCTTGACTAATGAAAAGTTGGCTGCAATCTGCATTTGAAAAATGATGCTTAGTGGTGGATACTTGGGAGAACCAAGGTGCAGGGTCGTGCCCGTCATTTCACTTGACTAGATACGCCCGCTTCTCCCAAGGTGGCTGTACCGAGTATCATCTCCATCAGCTCTACCTGAGCATTCCTTTAACTTCACAGCTTTGTTGACACTTGCTGTTGTCAGACCTTTTAATTTTTGCCAGTCTTTTAATTAGAAATTGTATCATACTGAGATTTTAATTTGAATTTCCAGTGAAGTTGAATGCCTTTCATTTTTTCATTTTTGATGTTGAGATTGCCTCTTCTGTGAATAGCCTTTTCTTTGCCCGTTGTAGTAATGTGTTTTTTTCTTTTCCTCATTGAGCTGCGATATTTCTTTTGTTTCTCCGCCTTTTGAGGATCAGAAGTGAAAATCATCAGTAGTTTCCTTTATTGTTTCTTTTTGTTTGTTTGAAAAACCCTTTCTTACGGGCTGAGGACATAAAGGTATTTTTCTCTGCTGTCTAACAAAAGCTGTGAAGTTGTTCTTCATGGGGAGGTGTTTCATCTGTTTGGGATTGATTTTTACCTGTGGTGTGCAGTTAAAATTTTTTCTATTGGATTACCAGTTGTCCCAGGCCCTTCACTGTTTTTTTTCTCTTGGATTACCAGTTGTCCCAGGACCTTCTATTTTAAAGTGCATTCTTTCTGTCTTTCCCTCTCCCCTTGGCAGTATCTTCCTTTAGCAAATCAAACATCCGCACGCGCGTGGATCTGCCCCTGGCTCTTCTGGCCTGTGTGATTGATTTCTGTGTGTGTCATAGTGTAACATTGTCTTAATAATGCTGACTTCCCATTATGTCCTAAGAGCTTGTAGAATAAGGTCCTCCATCTTCCTTTCTCTTCCCTTTCCTTTCTTTCCCAGCCTGCCTGCCTTTTTCAAAAAAAACCCAAAATCGTCTTGGTTCTTTTTCTATATACATTCTAAAAATAGCATGTCAAGCCTCCTGAATAACCCTGCTCTCTGTTTGACTGGAATATCTTTGACTCTGAAGGCAGCTGACAGGCTCAGGATCATGATGTGAACATGAATGTTATTGTTGTGAGTGGCTCACATGCCTGTAGCACGTCCCCCATTCATGTCTCATTCAGTGATTTTTATACTTTTATCCATAGATTACTTATTTGTTTTTTGTTAGGTATCTTCTGACATATCTTACACTTTTTTGTTGTTATTATAATTTTTTGGTTAGAAATAGATTTTACTGCTACTAGTATACGAACCACGGTTGATTTTTGGTTCATTGATCTTAAATCTAGCAACCTTGCTCAGACACTTAATAATTCTTAGTAGTGTACTTGTAGATTATGTTAGGTTTTCTAGTTAGGCAATTATAATTTTTGCAAACAATGATAGTTTTTCCTTAATCATTGTGTTTTGTTTCTGCTTATTTGACTGAGCCAGACTGAGCCTCCAGTTTAACTTAACCTCCAACACAAAGTTG